TATATCAGAACCAAAAAGCATGTATTTTGATAAACGGAGATCCAACAAAAATTTTTGGAATAAATAAAGGAGTAAGGCAGGGATGCCCGCTATCACCCCTACTTTTTATTTTAACCTTGGAAAACCTGCTAATTAGAATTAGGGTAAACAAAGAAATACAAGGATTAAAGATTAAGAGAGAGGAGTACAAGGTCCAAGCTTTCGCTGACGACTTGGTCTTCGTCATAGAAAACCCAACAGAAACAACCCCGAAATTACTAAAAGAGATTGAAAAATTTGGAAAAGTAGCAGGTCTAAAAGTTAATAAAGAAAAGACAAATATGATAACAAAAAATATGACAACAAAATAAGTAGAGAAATTAGTAAAAGATTCAGGATTACAGGCAGTTAAAAAAGTGAAATATCTGGGGATACATCTGACGGCTAGAACTATAACAATAAAACAAGATAATTATGAACCTTTAGTCCAGAAAATAAAAGAGGATTTAGAGAAATGGGGGAAATTAAGACTATCTTTGTTGGGGAGGATAGCAGCAATAAAATTAAATATACTGCCAAGACTCCTTTATTTATTCCAAACAATTCCAATAAAATTGGACAAGAAATTCTTTGATAACTTGGATAAAATAACCACAAAATTTGTGTGGGAAGGGAAAAAATCAAGAATAAAACTAAATATATTGCAAGACGATAAAATTAGAGGCAGATTTGGTTTCCCGGCATGGCAAAAATACTACAAGGCTGCAAGCTTACTTTGGATCAAGGAATGGATAACTTTGGATAATCAAAGGTTGATAAACTTGGAAGGACATGACCTGATGAAGGGATGGCATGCCTTTATTTGGAACACCAGGAATAAAATATATAAACACTTCAATAACCACACTATTAGGAAATCTTTAATTAATACATGGCAACAAATTCAACACAAACACATGAAAATCCCCGGCTGGCTATTGACAATAGAAGCAATAACTCACCCCAATATATTATCAAAACAAAAAATATTAAGATATAGAGAAATACTAGATAGACAGGGGAAACTGAAAACCAGAGAAGAATTAAAGGAACAAGGAATAGCAATAGACTGGTGGCCATACTCACAAATAAAGATAAGATATAGGAAGGATCAGGAGGAGGGAGGAATAGATTTAAAACAAAATCGATTGGACAAATTATTAGAATCCAAAGAAGGGAAATTAATTTTGAAAATTTATAAATATTTACTCGAATATGATTTGGCAGAAGAATTGGTTAAAGGGCAGATGATAGCCTGGGCGAGGAACATTGGGCACAGTATACAACTAGAAGAATGGGAAAGAGCGTGGGAGAATAACTATAGCATGACAAAATCGGTAGCCAACAAAGAAAATCACTATAAAATGTGGTATCGATGGTATCTGGCCCCCGCAAGGTTAGCAAAAATGTACCCAAATGCAAACCCGACCTCTTGGAAGTGTAAAAAAGCACAGGGAACTTTTTATCACGCTTGGTGGCTCTGCCCAGAAATTAAGAAATATTGGAACAAGATAAAAACATGGATAGCAGAAATAACAGATTATGAAATTGAATTAGAACCCGAAATTTTTTTATTAGGTATGATTAAAAAGAACATTAGGAATGATATAAAATATTTAATACTTCACATAATAACGGTGGCTAGATTAGCGGTAGCACAACTTTGGAAAACAAATAGATTGCCAACCGATCAGGAGCTAATACAAAAGATATACACATGCGCAGAAATGGACAAATTAACCTTGGAGTTACAGGATAAGGAGGATTCAAAATATTTTACAATATGGAATAGATGGTACCAGTGGATAAATCAGAGGAGGCCAAATGGGTAGAGATGAAATTTAGAGGAAATTAATATAATTAAAAAATGCACTGTCAGATAGATAGAAAATGAATTATGTCACTGTAGGTTTGTATATATGTATATATAATAATAGAAACTAGTTAGTAATTGAAATTGTTTATTGTATATGTATATGTAAATTTGTTTCTTGATTAAGTTAACTTTTAACTTAATCAAGCTTTTGTATGTTTTAAATGTTTTTAAGAATGAATAAAGTTTTGCTTTTTAAAATTAAAAAAAAGAGAATAAAATGTGGGTCAGTGAAATATACTTTATATCAGGAAAAGGGAAACATTTATATAATTTTATAAGAACATTTTTCAATGTACTTTAGAACATATCCTCAGTTTATTAAAAATGAATGTATTTTTATAGATTACATATAATATATTTTCTTGCAGGTTATTTACATATACCGAAATCCAAAAGACACTTTAGTGTCCTATTTTCATTTTATCAACTCATTCAGGGCAGTGGAAAATTCATATAATTTGGAGGAATACATGGAAAGATTTTTATCTGGAAACGGTAAGATGGAAATAAAAACTTTAATTATCACAACACTGTCAAAAAGGGCTGGTTTGCTAGTGTGTCCCCTTGGAGTTATTAACAACAACAACAACACACAGTTTGAAGCATTTCAGCAATAGGAGAGAACTTTACATTTAATGAATCCAAAGTTTCCTCATTCTCCAATGAAACTCCAGGCTAAATCTCACTTTGCACAGTTGCTCATATTGGTTTGTGTGTGGGGAAAAATTAAACACTCATAAACTTCCACCTCTCTCTATTAAAATAAAATCCATGTCAGCCAACATAGCAATAAGGATCTAACGGGGTCCACTAGAGGAACTGCATTAAACAGTAATGGTGTGAATCTGGCCAGAGACAACATGTGACTTGGATGAGTTGGAAAACAATCCCAACTGAGTCATTTTTCAACTCAGGGCTATCATTAATTGTAACTGTCTTCACTGCCTTGCCTAACAATCCCCATCCCTGCTCTTCACGGGTGTTAAGTAACCAGGCTGGCAATTAAGCAGAGCAAAGGGTGTCTCTGGGTTGGGGGAGACCCTGGGAAGCCTAGTGCAGGCCCAGGCATGTGCTGCAACACTTTTACAGCCCACTCATGGCCTGCCCCGGGCCTCCAAGGCCTGCCCCACTCTCTGAGGCAGCCCACGCTCTGCTTCCTAGACCTCAGCATCCCATAGGTCCCACAATTTATGGTAGCTGCTCCCAAAATTGCAGCCATTTGTGGAATGGAGCAACACAACCTCCACTGTAGAGAAACAGGCCGAGGGAAATTGTAGACAAACATTGTAGAGGGGTAGAACAACCTGTTCTTGTTCCCCAATGGAGCTCCAGAGATCACGCTGGGGAAGGAGAGCAGGCCACTCAGTCCCGTGGGCTCCTTTGGGTCTGCCTTGGAAGCAGAGACCATTTTGTGAGTTGCTGCAATGAATTAGTGTCTGCTCCGACATGATGCCCACTTCCTGAATACAGCCATATGGTGGCTGTATTTTCACTATGTAGGAAGGCCACATGGTGGAGTAGCTGCTTCCAGAAGGAGATCTACAGCACCAAAATAGCAACTGACTCATCAGTGATGGAGGTAGGAAAGAGGCCCACAGGGACCCAGTGGGACAGTATGGTAAGAATATAGGAGGGGAGGCCTCTACAGCATCCCTTGTAAAGGCAGGTGGATAGCAAAGAGCTCAAATTTTGTTCACACAATCATGGGGGCATGGCAGTAGCCATAAATTCGGGCAGGAGTTATAAGCCCCTTCATTCAGTGATGTCATAATTTCAAACAGTCCCTGTACAAACAGTTGATGGCCTCCTGTACGCCTTAAAATGCAGAAACGATTGTTGGTATCCTTAGCAATTTTTTTTCCATTTCCAAAGACATTTCCAAAGAGTTCCTATTCTAATTGTATAATGCATGCTGTTTAGAAAGAAGTGATCCTCAAAATCATTATGAATTACTAACATTGGCTTTGTGTATATAATGTTTAAAAGAAAAATATTTTCCTTGTAGCTCATGTGAGGAATCAGAATTAACTTAAGCACGACAATTCTTATTTCCATTCTCAGTTCCTAGCAGTTTGGTCTTCGATCATGTGAAAGGCTGGTATACACATCAGAATGAATTCAATATTCTCTTCCTGTGCTATGAGGAAATGATCCAGGTGAGACTATTCACTTATTTCCCCCACTTATCATATTCTTCCAAATATAAGATGCACTTTCCCCCACCAAAAGTGGGTGGAAATGTCTGTGCGTCTTATACAGCAAATGTTGCTGAAGCCCCACTCACCCTCTGGCCCCCACCCTTTGGCCGTTTTTTACCTCAGCGCATCACATTTTTGGCTGGTTCTAGGTGGCGGGGATTGGCGGCCAAAAACATAACATGCGGAGGAGGCCCAAAACACAATGTGTGGAGGTGGCGATGGCCTGGGCGATCACCACAGCCTGGAACAGCTTGTTTTCCTCCCCAAAAACTAATGTACATCTTATACTCCGAAAAATGCTGTATTCTTTTGTCAAGGTCAATAGGATTCAGGGAATAGGCCTAGACAAATAGAGATTCAGCTTCAGGTACAGTTTGCTTTTATCTATGATTGAACATTTGTGAATGTTCTGAACAAACTAACTTTTACATTTTTAAGGTCAGAAGAGTTCATGCCTGTTTTTCTTTTCCATTCAACATAAACTATTCCAGTGTGTTTGAAAATCAAAGTCCTGCTAACTCTCTGCTTATGCAGCTAAGCAGAGTTTGTAGAGCTGATTCAGACAGGGCTTTTTTCTTTTTCCTAAAAGAAGTGTATAGAAAAGAGACAAGGGAAGAAAAGGGTTTGTTCCAAAGCTTTTGGATAGATCAAGTTCCTGAAGAGGAGATACAGGAAGAAGACACCATTCTCCTACCCCTATTCTCTTTTCATCCTTCTTTAAGGGTTTGACAAGCGCTGCAGAAGAGAGAAGCAGCCGGGTTAAATGCTGCTTCTCTCCACTGCAGTGCTTTCTGGATGTGACTTAAAGGACCTAAGTGGCAGCTCACGGCTGCTAAATTTCACTGTGCTGCACAAGACACTCTTCCGGCAGGCCACCAGCAAGAGCACTGGTGGAGAAAAGCAGCGGGGCTGGGCCATTGTCTCAGGAGAGCATGTGGAGCATCTCCCCAAGTGACCAAGGCTCACCCAGCACCAAGGGCTGGAAGAAGCGACTGCAAGATCTGACATGCCGGAGATTCAACCCAGCTGCTTCTCTCTGCCATAGCACTTTCACATGCTTGCTTCATGTATGTGCATGACAAAGAATGCAATGAAAATGACTTCATATAAGAGCATGCTTTGCTCAATTTGTTAAAAGGAATTGAGATGTGGTCAGGAGAAATATCAACTTAAGGTGTAAATAGGTAACGAAACAAGAAGAGTTAGCATTAAGATTCAATAAGTGCTGAATGAATGTGGATTAAATACAAATGAGTATTTGAGAGAAGCACATTTGTTGAAATGATTTAGTCATATTAATCAGGATCAATTACATAACAAATATTTGAAGGAACACTGAATGGATGCAGAAGAAGGCAGAGAAAATGATAGTTAGATGAAGCTGATAAGATTGGAAAGGTATAGTGCACAGTATTGATTTAGCTTGATTTAACCATTGTTCTATTTCTTTCTTTCCTGGTTGCCTTATTCCTTTTGTGTGCTTTGCATAACATTGCTTGTTCCCAAAGGAAAAAAGCATGATGGGAATTGATGTATACTAATCAATTGGTTGATTAGTTGGTTTATATGGTGTTCAGCTCACTATAACATTTCTAGATAAATAATGTAAGATATAAAACACATGTATGTATGTGCATGTAATTATTTACAATACATACATACATACATACATACATACATACATACATACATACATACATAACTTGCTTCATCTGAAATTTATATAGATGTAGTGGGAAATGCCTATTGTCCAGGATCTCCATCCAATTCATTTCCACCAGTGTTTTATCTGCATAAAGAAATAAATGACACTTTTTAAACCTTTTTAATGCTATTCGATATAATGTTTTCACTCGGAAATCAATTCCATTCTGTTCAGTGGAGCTTCCTCCAAATTAAGGAGTATACAAGGGTATACTGTAGAAATATTCCAAAAGCAAATAATTCTTCTTCCAGGATCTCAGAGGCACAGTACTTAAAATATGTAAATTTATTGGAAAAGAGCTGAGCAGCCAGGAAGTGGATAAAGTTGTGGAGATGTCTACATTCAAGAACATGAAAGCTGATCCTAGGGCAAATCATGTGAAAACATATGAACAGTGTTTTGGACAAACAAACGTAAACCATATACGCAAAGGTAACACCGAGAGAACAAAATCAAACTTTGGTATTTTCCCTCTCTTGCATCTAACCATGGGACAAAAACGCTTCAGAAACCACTTCTTTTTCTCTTGTGTCCTCAAGACATTGAATTCTTATCCCCAGCATATACCTGAGGTAGTTCTACGTCATCCTCAGCTTCTCCAGTGTTGAATGAACATTTCCACTTCTTCAGCAGGCAAAATCTATGTTAGTTTATTGTAGAGGAGAGGTGAATTCTGCACTCACGTTATTCCTGGGGGTAGGTTCAGTTTAACTCCCATTGGTCACTAGAAAGGACATGGCCTCAATTCTCTAGGCCTATCAGGGCCATTCTGACTTGGACAGTGAAGAATCCAATTCTTTCTGATGAGGCTTTCCCCTGAATCTCCCAGATCTTGAGATGTAGCTTTGAAAGGGGGCTGAACCAGGCTGAGAGGTTGTGTTGGAGGAGAGAAAGAAAGAGGGAGAGAAATGGGAGATGAAAAGAGAGAGAGCTGATGTCCCTGCAACTTGAGCAATAGCTGGATCTTCACTGCTGTGCCCCACGACCCCTTTGAGAGGATTTCCTGCTCCTTCAGAAGTGTAGCTTTTTATTTATTTATTTATTTATTTATTTATTTATTTATTTATTTATTTATCTATTTATCTATTTATCTATTTATTTTATTTATTAGGGTTTGATCCTACCTTTATTACCCTGTTTTCCCCAAAATAAGACATAAAGTTGGGCTCAATTGTGTTTGTAACTCAAGGACTACATGTATATCCTCTTTCTGCTGAAAAAATTGTCCAAAGTAAGGTATTACTATAAAAACCTCAGTTGTGACTATTGCTGAGTCCAAAACTCACTCTTTTACTTACTCCTGTGATGAATAAATGTGCTATGAGAGAATAATGGTGGCAGCTGGATCTTGTGGGAAGACAGAACAGTGGTTCCAGAATTGTACTAGATACACAGAGCCAAAAGGATGATCATCACTGGTGGGATCTTCATGGTGGGCAGGTCTGTGAGGATTCAACATCAATGCTGGGGCTCTTTTCAGGAGAACAGACTACTGGCTAGGACCAATAATTGATTCTTCAATCTGCTCCTTTTTCATCAGGAACTGTTGGAGACTGGAAGAATATTATGACAGTATCGCAAAGTGAAAGGTTTGACAATATTTTTCAAGCACAAATGAAGGATATACCTCTCAAATTCATTTGGGATATAAAAGAAATACAATCTACTCAGCATGGGAAGCGGCAGGAACCTCTCCAGGAGGACAAAGAGCAGAAATGTTCAACACAACCGTAATACGTATATGCACAGTAGTTTAAGCTATCACAATACACCTATGTATTTTCTGTATGTACTTATGTGTATTGTGTGCATAACTGCTTTCTTCTCAAAGTTGTTTCCTGCTTTCCTGCAACCTTAAAAAAACATGGCTTTCGGGAACCCCATCTTTTTCTTTTTCAAAATATTGAAAACATCCTATAATTTATCACCACAAATGGGTCAAGATATACCAGAATGATTTCATAAATATTTTTCAATAGAAACAAATGCTTTGGAGGCTGGGAGAAATGTCTTTTGTAATGAGAAGAGAATAAAGATATGCTAATCAATTTTTTTAATGGGTCAACATGATGGTTGCTTTGATAATGGGAAAACTATTTTGGAACAGCACTTTTCTATATCTTGGATATATTAATTCTCTATTGCTCGATTTTATAAAAAAGATGAAGTTAGGGAAAAAATATTTAGCACATTTGGTTACTTACATGCTACATCCAACAACTTTAAGTAATACCTATGGATATAGATCCTGGTGTAGAGGCCAAGTCAGAGGGTACAAGTGATCAGTTTTCTCTATAGCTCTAGTTTAATAATAAGTTTAAAAATTAATGTGCAGTTGATATCATATGGAGCTTATTTTTCCCCTAAGTTCTTCCTTCTCTTTCCATATAGTTTCTTGCCAAACATTATCATTCTTCTTCCTTTATTTGATCTGCCTCACTAATAAAATAATTCAAAAATTAGTTGATCAGATATATTTCATTAGGGTTTTTTAATCTGCTGCAATTCTGCAACTCTCAGTGGTTTACAAATATTAAAACACTCAATCATCGAACAATAAGTCATCCACAAGCAAGCCAAGATTAGTCCACCATGTAATGGCCAATAGTCCATAAAACAAATGCAAAGCTGCTCCAGCAAGTAAGTCCACTAAACCAACTCAAAGTCGCTAGGCAAAACTAAAAATACCTCCACGGGAACTCACTGGTCAGGAGAAGTTCAAAAGTCCAGCAGGAAGCATGAACAAATACACAGCCATAAATCATACACGTTATTGCCAGCAACACCTCCCTCTGCCTGCCATACTAAATAGCTTCCTGGTGCATCCCATCAAGAGGAGTGGGGCCTTCTCTTGAGTAATCTGGCAGACCTCCGTTTCTCTACCCTGCGTGCTCTGAGATCCACCATGGAAGGCAACTCTTCCCCATCCTCTTCACTTACCTGCAAGCTGTCTTCAGCAGAAGCCTGTAATTCTCTTTCTCCTGGCGGTTCAGGGTCAGTAATTAACCCTGTTCCTGAATAAACCCTGTTTATTCCCTATGCCAGGAATAAACTCATCCTCCCTCAAGCAGGCCTCCGAAAAAGAGTCAGAGAAATCGTCCAAGGGAGACATCACAACTCCCCATGGTAAGATAGTAATATAAAACATACAGTTATATAGACCTATGGTTACCAATTTTGGCCAGGCCATATAAATTTGCAGCAGTTTATTTCCGCTATTCAAGTTACTATCAACACTTAATCTGCAACAGATTCTATAAACTAACCTGAAATTTCAACAGCAAATATGAGGTTATAATTGAAGGCATCATCCAGTTGGAAAGCAAGGTAAACATTAGCTCTAGGTTATCCCTTTGACCTCATTATCAAACTATGAACACATCACTAATGATATAAACCAGATGTAAGTCTTATTAACAGAATGAAACACATCTGACTTGATTCACACATCATGTTTAAACTATAAACTACAGCTTGCAGATAAAATTGACTAAAATGCCAACCTCATAGTTAAACCAGCCAACAAATCAAACATGCTCTGTGTGAATTAAATCCAGGCGCCCATGCTAAATTCAGTTTGCAAGATACTTATAATTTCTCCCAAGTAGTCTTCCCATGCTTTAATGCTCATTGGGTCCACATCCTCTGAAGATTTGGCTTTTGGCACTATTAAACCTGCTTTCAAGGTAAAGATCAGATCTGGGATCCTCCAGACAATTTATGGGAAACCATATTTAAGGTTGAGAGGTTATGGAACATGGAGTCACAACTATCAGACCAGATCCAGCTAGAATTCCAGGCCACTAAAGTCATTTGGGGCCTGAGTGCCAGAGATTCATCTAGACCATCCTCTGCATCAAGGGTGGGGGAATTCTATTCAGAATTCAAAATCAATTCAGTTCTTAGATCTGTGAGTTGATCCTTCATTCTTTGATTTTGACAAGGTCTATGAAGATTACCACAATCCAGGGCCAAGCCTTGAGATGATTCCCTTCGTCCCATCTCTAGGCACATCAGAACTCAAATCCAAGAAGGCATTTGGCAAAATCATAAGAAAAATACACATATCCCCAAGCAATCCAGTGAAATATTTAATGATCAAGCCAAGATTTGTTTTATTTTTTGCTCTCTTTGTTCTCTTTCAACTAGATTTAAAATTCAGACATTAAATGCAAACAATACACATGAGCAGCTGTTTGCTGTCACTGGGTCACAACATTGTTAAAACAGAAGTTATAGTCAAGGTATCGATGTATGTTATTTTTTTCATTCCTCATGTTCATTACTGAAACGGATACCAAAGAGAGGAAATGTTTCATTTTAGAAAGGAAAGGAAACAATAATGTATAATTAATTAAACCGCATTGCACTTTTAAAAACTCTTTATCTTTGAAAATCGTTTTCAGTATGTATCCAAACTCATAACCTCTTGCAAGCTTCTCTTCTAACAGGAGTTTAGATTGGTTTCTATTGATCGGGCACAGTGTGTGATGCTGCAAAGAAACACAGAACCTTTGAGTAAATTTTATATTTGAGTAGATTTAATATTTAAAAAGTCACTTATTTATATTATTTTTATCCCTTACATTCAAATCATAACATCTTGCAAAATGAGATATATTTTTATGTGTAATAAATTGGTGCAGATGTTATTCCCTCCCCGCTCATATGTTATCTCCTCCCCACTTCGTTGTCCCGTGGTGGTGAGTTGTCCCCACATCCAGGGGACGCATTCAGACAACTGGGCATGCCATTGGCACTGAACTATCATCGGCAACCCGTCAGCTCCAATCCATCAACACTGGCCCAGTGGTGCCAAGTGCTCCACACTGATCTGTTGGCACCGATCCATCCACACTGAGCTGCTTGCACCGACCCACTCTTGCCGAGTTGTCCTACACATGAGATGACACAGTAAAATCCAGTTGAATCCAATTCTATATTTGCTAATACCGTCTGCTAATGCGGACAATCTTGCCAAACTAAAAATATAATGTTCTAACCTTCTACATATATTATTCTGAGGGATTCTAGGGTGTGGCTACAATGAACCTTTCCCACCTTCCTCATCCAACCCAGGACTGCATAGTCTTTTAATTCATGCCTCCCTCTGGGAAAGCTGTGTGTTACCAAATTTCTCCCCCACTGCTCCTCCAGGTGCACATTCCATTACATACAACACTTTCAATATCTTGCTCAAGTATGCTGCAAGTGTAATAGGAGAATAATTCTCAAGTACTTTCTAGGGGTGTTGTCATTTCCTTTTCCAGATGGTAATGCTGTAAAACACTTCTGAAAAAGCAAAATAAGACATCCCCTGACCAGTATAAGAGCTACTGATAAAATCTCTGATACTGAACTTACAAACAAATAAGCACTGGTGAAGACTGCCTCAAATTACATCCATGAAGTTTGCAACAACATGGAAATGGTTTACAACTATTAACCCAATATTTAGAATTTGGTTTTATCTGCAGAAAACTATTACAGAACTTGGGGATATCCAAACAGTTATCACTATCTATGCAAATCAAGTAATGCAGTTCAATCAAAGACTGTGGCACGAACCGGTTTGTGTGTGTGTGTGTGTGTGTGTGTGTGTGTGTGCAATAGTTAGAATGTAGTATTTCAGGCTAATTCTGCTCACTGCCAGGAATTTAATTCTGACTGGCTCAAGGTTGACTCAGCCTTCCATCTTTCTGAGATTGATAAAAAGAGGACATAGATTGTTGGGGGCAATATCCTGATTCTATAAACTGTTTAGAGAGGGAGGTAAAGCACTATGAAATGGTATATAAATCTAGGTGTTAAATACTCATTAGTAAACAGAGTGGAGCCAAAGAAAGGAAGGCTACACTCAGGTCCACCATCCAGGCAGGAAGAATAGTTTAAACAGATGGGTCAATTCATCTATCAGCCCCTTATAAAAGGGCAAGCTGCCATATATTGCGGTGTTGCGAACATCTGCCCTATACTGCGAGTTCCGAGAACTAGATGAAATGCTCAGGGACCGAATAATCTGTGCGGTAAGAGACTTAAATCTCCAAAGACGACTGCTAGCCAAGCCAAACTTAACCCTGCAGATGGCACTAGACAAATCCAGAGCTGCGGAAAACTCAATCAGTTCTATGACGACTGTTCAAAAATTTGCCAACCCAACCATTTCGTGCCAAAATGCCACCATCGATCAGGGCAGCACAGAGCAGGACGAATCAACGGATGAAGAAAACTAAGTTTGCCACCTCTGATCGGTAAGAAGAGAAACTTCATAGAGGACCATGGTGGTTTGCAAGGGATGCAGCAGAAATCACACAAGGTCAACCTACCAGTTCAAAGAGGCCATTTGCCAGAAATATGATAAAAAGTAGCATTTGGCAAGAGTTTGTCGCGCCAAACAAACCACTGGCTACAGCACAACCCAATTCCACAGAAACCAACCAAACTACCTGACAGGTCCCCAACAAACCACCGGCTACCATGCAAATCAGTTGACCTACCCAACTTTTTTTTTTTTTTATTTAGACATAAATAATTGTTACTGATTATTATAGTTAAAATAGATAATTGTTAGTGGACTTCCGGTCGGCGAGCTGCAGCGACATGGTGCTGAGCGAGTGATCTCCACTCCTCAGCATCCTTTGTCACCGCGTTTTGGGGATCCCTTCGGGGGCGCGGGACCTGGAGAGCCCCGCGGACAATAGAGAGAGCCGGGGGAGCGAGAAAGTGAAGCGCAAACACTTCTCGCATAACCGGGCAACTCTGTCAAACTGACGCGCGTGAAGTCAGCCTTTCAATGGCTGACCTGAAGCTGTGGTAGCCGACAACTAGATGGGAAGCAAGAAAGATCGGAGGCTGCAGTGTCGGGATTAAAACGTGTCCTCCCTGCATACGTGAGACCGAACATCAGGAAGGGGTCGGTGGAGTCGGGCGAGAAGGGCTCGAGTGGAAAAAGGCGGCGACGGAGTTTGGTGAACAGCCTGAATAACTACAGAGCTCGACAAGCCGGCGCTGAGAGTAAGAAATCGAGGACGCTAAATCGCCTGCGCAAAAGGA